TGTGTGTGTGTGTGTGTGTGTGTGTGTGTGTGTGTGTGTGTGTGTGTGTGTGTGTGTGTGTGTGAGCCTCACAGGAAGAGGACGATGCCCGTGTTGGACATGGCGTAGGACAGTCCCAAGATGCCACTGCCCATGATGGCGTTGCTCAGATTGAAAACAGACATCCCGAATGAGGTTTTACCCTCAAACTAGAAAAATAAACCATGAATTTTAAAAAGTTTTTAATTTTAAATATTTTGATTATTGTGTTAATTTGAATTTATATTAAAAACCTAATGTTAAACCATATTTTCTGTGCTTCAAGTTCTGATTTTCACGGTTAGAGTTGCTTCATAATTTGTATTTATTTGTGTAAAAACCTTTTAACACATTTGTTTGTCCACTCACGTCGGTGAACTCGGGTCTTTTTGAGCCGTCGTCTTTGTGTTGCAGGAACTTTTCTTCCTCTGGTGGAATTCTGCATCATAAAAAACAAACACTTTTTTTAACAAATGAGGTTTGAAAATCTAATTTAAATGTAAATGTGCCTGAGTCGTACCCTCCCTCCACAGCGGCGTCATGGAAAATCCCGTTTGATGCTTTCTGCAGTTCCATCATTCAACAGAGTTCAGGGTTTGGAAATGTTTCAGGAAAATGAAAGAGCTTTAAGAGGGAAATCTGAAAATGAAACATAAATAATATAATATTTTAAAAAGTTTATTTACTACAAACTGTTTACCAGACTCATTACATGTTTTTATTTACATGAACGCCTACATGTCATCGACTAATCCAACAGCAGATCATGTGTTCTCCAGGCGCTCACCTACTTCCTGTTTGACGATCACAACTCATTTTATCCCAGTTTTGGTCAAGGAAACACACCTACAACATCATTGACTAATTCTACCAGCACTTAACACAAAAACATCAGTTCAGGTCAAAATAGGATCCGTTGGATCGAGTGGATCAGATGGATCAGGTGGATTGAGTGGATCAGTGTATTGGGTGGATTAGGTGATCGGGTGTATCAGTTGGATCAGGTGGATTTGATGGATTGGGTGGAGCGGGTGGATCAATTTGATCGGGTGGACCAGAGTGGATCAGGTGGATCGATTGGATCAGTTGGATCAGGTGGATTGAGTGGATCGGGAGGATCAACATAGATCTGTTGAATCTGGTGGATCAGATGGATCAGGTGGATTGAGTGGATTGGGTGGATCAGATGGATCGGGTGTATCAGGTGGATCATATGGATCAGTTGAATCGAGAGGATCAAAGTGGACCAGGTGGATTAGTTGAATCTGTTGGATCAGATGGATCAGTTGGATTGGGTGGATCAGGTGGATCAGGAGGATTGGGTTGATCAGGTAGATCAGCGTGGATCAGTTGAATCAGGTGGGTCGGATGGATCAGGTGGATCAGATGGATCGGATGGATCAGGTGGATCAGATGGATTGGGTGGATCAGGTAGATCAGAGTGGATCAGTTGGATTGGGTGGATCGGGTAGATCAGAGTAGATCAGTTAAATCGGGTGGATCAGATGGATCAGATGGATTGGGTGGATCAGATGGATTCGGTGGATCAGTTGGATCAGGTAGATCAGAGTGGATCAGTTGGATTGGGTGGATCAGGTAGAGCAGAGTGGATCAGTTGGATTGGGTGGATCAGGTAGATCAGAGTGNCAGTTGGATTGGGTGGATCAGGTAGAGCAGAGTGGATCAGTTGGATTGGGTGGATCAGGTAGATCAGAGTGGATCAGTTGGATTGGGTGGATCAGTTGGATTGGGTGGATCAATTGGATCAGATGGATCAGATGGATTGGGTGGATCAGGAGAACCAGAAACCCTGTGTGGTCCTTGATGATTCAGCTCTTTACAGAAAAGTAYAAGTTAAGGTTCATAAATGTTTCCTAAAAACCTTTGATTTGTTTATATTTTGAGGACAGTAAAAGAATCCATGCTGAACGTAAAACATGAAGCGAGGACTTCCTGTGAGACTGAGCCGTTCAGGTTTCAGTCCACTGTTCACATTTGGCCCCCCCTCGTTCTGACAGGAATCCCACAAAGTGGCCTCTGACTTGGAAAAGTCGGTGTTTTTCTTGGATGGAGACACTCTGTAATCACTGGGACCGTTTCTAAAATAAAAATATCGTCTGAGGCAGAATTTCGGCTCCTCCACTGGACCAGACAAACGGGACTGAAACAGACTGGGGACGGACCTGAACTGGACTCGTCTGTCTTCAGTTTTTGGACCCAGTTTAAACAGTGACAGTCGATCTGTCTTCCTGAACTTATTATTTGTTGTTTTCTTTCTAAAAACACACAAATATTTAGTATTTAAACAATCATAACTGAAAATAACAACCAAAACTTTACTCAAACCTGGGCTCTGTGAAACCTGAAGTTTTCCACTGTGGGGTTAAAATATTGACAGAAGCCTGTGGAAAGTGAGGTGTTTGTACTGATAAGAGGCCGATTATCTCCTCTGTTGGCCTCAGAATCACACACGGACATAAAACTGACCTCTAAACTCAAACACGACTCAAGACTTTGACATTATGTTCAGGAAAAGTCACGTGGACCTTAATAGTAAATATTACACAGAAGCACGTTTTATACTTGTAGGTTTATTTAATATGGAAATATTTCTGATCCGTTTGTGAAACAGTCATAACCACAAACTACAATACTGACATTTATCTTCCACAAGAAAATAACGAGAAATCAACTTTACTTTCCTCTGATTGTCACCATTAACAAACATTTTTAACTCTAAGTGACGCAGAGACACACACCCAACCAACGCACCAATCAGATTGAAGAACTTCCTGTCAGAGTGATCCGTTCYCGACTGTAAACACAAATAAATATCTGCTTTCAGAGGAGGCTCGTTGCTCAAACATTTGATTCAGTAAAATATCAGCCTGAAAAGATCCAGTTTACAAAATACTGAACTGATGGTCCAGTCTGATGGTCAATGGAGCCGGAGCCCAACCAACCAACCATGTTTTTCACTCTTCCACAAAAACAGCTTTAAAGTTCATAATAAAACGACAAAGCAGATATAAAAAGTATTTATTTAATTTTTTAATGAAAATGATTTGTTTTATACTTAATGTGGTAAAAAAATCTATTCAGTTGCTAAAAATCTTATAACTTTTTAACAGACCATTTCGTGGTTAGAAATGATCAAAAATGTGCATGTACGAAGTGAGCTGACCACACGGTTATTGAGAAAGATTTAGCGGGAAAAGCTGAGGTTGTTCTGGAAACGCCATAGTAGTTGTACAAATTCAACAGGTAAATTTTTGCTGTTATACAGCCCCGATATATTTACTCTAAACTGATTATTGTTAAACTTTCCTTTAGGATTGTAGATGAGAATTTTCATTAATATCTAAACTACAGATGTGCTTTTTGAGCTTGTTGAATTTGTACAATTGCAGTAGCATTTTCGTAGCAACCTCAGCTTTCACTTGATAAATGTGTGAGGTCGGCTCGCTTCACGCGTGCATATTTTTAGAATAGAAACAGACTTTATTGTGGTATTTCTGATCTTTTCTAACTATGAGATGGTCTTTTATCTTATATTGTTTTCTAATCACCAATTAGTAATCAAGCTGAGTTAGCGGAGCATCCCAGCTAAGCTAGTTTGGTAACTAAGCTAGGCTAGCATGGCAATCAATCTAAGCTCATGRATAAATTTACATTTTTAGTTTCTAATGCACATAGCTTTTATAAAAACTGGGGCTGTGAAATTAATCAAGTTAACTCTGACTAATTTTAGTGCTGCACGGACATAAAAAATTAAATCGCAAATAACCGTGATTAAAATTTGCAATCACTTTACTCTGGCTGAATATGTAGGTTTGTAGATTACAATGCACTCAGTGCCAGGTCATGTTTGTAAATGAGAAGTGGTTCTCAAACAGTTTACTTGGATAAATAAAGGTCAATAAAATAAAATAAAATAAAAGACTCCATGTGTAACACATTATGTACAGTTTTTTTCTTTTTGTCTTCTTATGGCTTATTTTATTTTATTTATTTATGTTATGCTGACAACTGTGATCTTAGTATCTATCTTTCATTCCTCATGTAGAACTCATCTGGAATGAAAATCCATGAATTCTTGATTTAATCTCATTATTCTGCACAAAATTTAACTGACTCAAATATGTTTGGAGCATTTTTAGGTGCTGTTTTGTATTTAAAAATCATGTCTAAACATCAATTTTGTATTNCTCTTAAGACTTATCATTGACATTCCACAGCTGGATTTGAGTTCATATATTGTCAATATGTTGTCACCAAGTGGATAAGTTCTTAAAGGTTTACATGCAATAAACAATAAAAAGAAAAATATAAAAAGAAAAATGAGAAATATATATATATATATATATTGTCAATATGTTGTCACCAAGTGGATAAGTTCTTAAAGGTTTACATGCTATACACAATAAAAAGAAAAATATAAAAAGAAAAATGAGAAATATATATATATATATATATTAAAGTGAAATGAAAGGCAGCAGAGAAGAAAAAAACCTTATATCTGCCCCATCATTAAAAAATATTAATCATTTGACAGCCCTAATAAAAACCTACTAATTACCTTGTTTATTTTGTTTTCTGATCACCAATTACTAATAAAGCTAAGTTAGCATAGCATTCTAGCTAAGCTAGTTTGGTAACTCAGCTAGACTAGCTTAGCAAATATTTTCATGTGTACAACTTTTTTTTTACGGTTAGGCACATTGGTTTTTCTGTTACGCCCACAGACTAAAAACTGAGTCTTTCAGTTGGCAACTTGGAAAAATATTGGCAAAAATGATCATTTTGTGTTTTCAAAGTCAATTTTCATATTAAATCCACTTTGTTTTTAACTCAGACAACATGGTGCAGTTTGAGGTCTGACTTGATCAAAATACTTCCTGACAGTAAGAACAAACATATTTTTCTGTCGTCATGGCGTCTTTTATGTTTAATTTTGCAAACAGAAACAAAAACAACTTAAATCATGTTGAAAATAAAAGGAAAGACTTGAACTCAGACCTCCTGTTCTTTGGCACCAAACTTCCTCCAGAACCAAACCGCTGCAGTTTGTTAAACCTGGTACCTCCCTGATGAACGCTCGAGTTGTTTSGACACATCAGTCAGGTTGACTGGATGTCATGACAACTCTTACGTAATCAAATAAATTTAAACATTTCTTTAAAAAAAAAAGGCTCGGGGATAAAAATGCAAAGCTGGATGCAGCTGCTGTTTGAACGTGTCGGCTCCAGTAAATAGTCTGGCCCGGACGAGTGTACAACGTGTTCCTGCTCCTGAGTGAGGCCCGGCCCCGTCTCTGCTCCTTCACAACTTTCTGTGTTTCATCAGAGTTTTTCACGCGTGGAGCAACACTTAAGTGTTAACAGCAACTAGTGCAAACTCTAAGTTCTGCATGATTATCCAAGTTGTTTCTTGTTTTGTGCATCAGAAAAACACAAGTTATAAGAAAAAGACATTAAAAGTACAAAACCTGAGATAACAAGAACAACATAAACCTGGTGTGAATTAAAGTTTTTTAATGAAAACTGAAATTAGATTTAAATAAAGTGACTTAAACGAGTTCTGTTAAAACCTAATCCAGCTGTTGGGCTRGTTAACACCCATCTGTCAGAACCAAACCCTGTTTTTGTTTGTATTTTTTTCCTCGCATGGACCCTCGGTCCTGCCGAGCCGGATCACGTGGCAGAGCAGCAGCTGGACAAAGACCAGGCTTACCTTCAGGAGCAGGACRTGGTGTGGCGGTGGGGTCAGGGTGCAGTTTGGGTCGGGCGCAGAGGGAAAACGTCGGGCCGTTTCGGAGCCCAGCTGGGAAGCAGAAGAGAGCGTCTCGGGGAGAAGAGGGGAGCAAACGTGAAAGCGGGCAGGGAAGAGGGAGGGTCTGCTGGAAGTAACGGTTTCAGGTTTCCCCTGATGTCACGTCCACAGACACTCCTCTTCCTTCCCTAAAGAAGAATAACAGACGAGCTGACAGTGATGGATGACCGTGTGGAATTCACAGGCCTCCACGGTCCCGCTCAGACTCACTGGGCCTGTTGGACCATTTCCACGTCCAAGTGGAAACACTGGAAATGCAGAGAGGCGGTCGAGGTTGTGCAAGAACTTGACGGAACCTGAGGCGAACTGGAAGAATCTGAAGTGAGTTCAAACCGTGTGGAAACTTTCCACAGAGAGAGAAACATGTCAAACCAGCGGCGCTGATCCCAGYTTCAAACCTACAGATGGTTCAGCGTTTACACATTCCCACAGCTGCTGCTGGCTCTTTAGGAACCGGTCCAACTCTAAATCTGTCTGCTGCAGAGAGCAGGAGGTTCATGCTTCACCTACAACCCCAGAGACCAACCACTCAACCAAAACTTTCCCCTGTGATTCTATTTTCGTGCTTTAAACCAACAAAAACACACCTCAGAGTCTGAGGAAACCTCAGACAGACCAGGAAGGACGAACTTCTCTGGGTCACTGAGGTTCTGTCTCAGGAGGAGGAGTTTAAATGTCTCAGTGAGGAGAAGACTGGAGACAGATCTGTTGGTCTGCAGTATTGTGGACTCTGTTGTGGTCCGTTGTGGTGAAGAGGACCGACTCTGTTTACTGGTCTATCTACGTTCCTACCCCCAACTGTGGTCTGAAGTCTGAGTACTGACTGAAAGAAGGAGACCTCAGATCCAGGAGGTCCAGATGAGTTTTCTCTGCAGGGTAGCTGGACTCTGGTTCAGTTCTTCAGGAGTATCTCAGACTAGATCTGCTGCTTCACATGCAGAGGAACCTGAGGTGGTTCATCTGGACAGAATGGACCCTGGACACTTTAATAGGGAAGTGTTCTGGACATACACAACAGGAAACCTGAGAAAAGACCCAGGACACTCTGGAGAGACGTCTGTCTCTCAGCTGGTCTGGGAACACCTTGGAGTCCTCCCAGAAAAGCTGGAAGAGAAGTCTGGACCTCCATGACCCAGCGGCCCAGATTCACTGGATGGATGGTTGGTTTGTTGCATGTTTGGATGGATGATGGATGTGTGATTGGATGGTTGGTTGGTTGGATGATGGATGGATGGTTGGTTGGATGATAGATGGTTGGTTGGTTGGCTGGATGATGGATGGATAGATGATGATGGATGGTTGGTTTGATGATGGATGGTTGGTTGGTTGGTTGGATGATGGTTGAATGGTTGGTTGGTTGGATGATGGATGAATGGTTGGTTGGATGGTGGATGGATAGATGATGCATGGTTGATAGGATGATTGGATGATGGATGGATGGATGTTTTTTTGGATGATGGATGGATGGTTGGTTGGATGATAGATGGGTGGTTGGATAGTTGGTTGGATGTTTGGATGGATGGACAGTTGGTTGGATGATGGATGGATGAATAAATGGGTGGTTGGTTGGATGTTTGGATGTTTGGATGATGGATGGGCAGTTGGTTGGATGTTTGGATGGTTGGATGATGGATGGATGGTTGGTTGGATGTTTGGATGATAGATGGGCAGTTAGTTGGATGTTTGGATGGTTGGATGATGATGGATAGTTGGTTGGATGATGGATGGATAATTGGTTGGATGGATAGTTGGATGGATGATGGATGGATGGTTGGCTGGATGTTTGGATGGTTGGATGATGATGGATGGTTGGTTGGATGATGGATGGATAATTGGTTGGATGGATAGTTGGACGGATGATGGATGGATGGTTGGTTGGATGTTTGGATGGTTGGATGATGGATGGATGGTTGGTTGGATGTT